TTAATTAAAATATTTTTCAAAATAAAACAAATAAATTCATCAAATTCGCTTGGTTAGTAATTTACAATATGCGTGTGTATATATAATACAGTTACATCGATATTGTCAGCATAGCTCGCAAATTCAGACATCAATGCACTTATATATATTATATGTATGTATGCAGGTTAGTAGCTATATGCTTATATTTTAGTTTCATTCGTCTGCGATTTGCTCATAAGGGGTGCTGTTCAACCGAACGTTAAAAATAAAAAAGAAATGAAATTAATTTGTGTTAATTTGCAATTTTGCTTTCGAAACACAACCAAATAAAATCAATTAAAAACTTAAGCATTAGCCAAAATTATTTTCATTAATAAAACACCAAATAAATGAAAAATTTCGAATGAAAACACAACGCAATTCAAATAACAAATTTGACTTAATTATTCATTTTACATCGCATACTTACTCGCATACAAATTTACTAATGCACATATATACACATATTTTAATGCCTACACCGGTGTGCGTATTAACGGTACAACTAGCGATGTGATTTATGCTTACAATTCGGCATGGTCACAAGAAAATTTATGCTCTAATTCGTTCAAAAAAAGTTAAGTTGGCGGCACGGTGCATATGAGTAACATTTAAATTGGCTGCTGACTGTGTATACCAGTATTTCAATTTCAACACAAAGAAAATTGAAAACCAATTTTTTTCTAATACAAGACTTTTAAATTAGTTTGTGCTGGCAATGAAACGCTTTGCGCGTCTAAAATAGGAAAATTCGGAATCGTCGAAAATGTCGCAGAAGTGTTTCGGGTGGTCTACATTATCACAAAATACAAAGTGGCCCAAAGCGGTCTGTGAAGATCGTTAAGTCATCGAAAACTTTCCTCATATAAGTCGTTAATCATTTATTACTTACGATAACATCGAACAAGTTTCACGAATTATGCTTGTGGTATTGGCATCAGAGAAATAGCAGAAAATCTCAACATCTCCCGATTAAATACATTTCTGTTAATATTTTGGGTATGAAAATTGTCAATGCTCATGTCAAAAGACCCGAATCTTGACAACGATGCTGAGAACCCTACATCATAAAGACTCCATGGAACATAATGGGCCACCTTTTGTAAATGGCTTCTCTAGAGCATTATAAGACAATCGATGCCTTTTTCTTCTCTCTGTTCGATATTCGCTTCCTATCCAGAATGAGGCCTAGATATTTCACCGTAGCCACCGGTTGCAGACGGAAGTCTTCCATTGATGATGGTGAAACCAATTCCGATTGCCCAGTTTGTTACGAAGTTAATATACATACATGGTATTCAGGAGCTTTCCATTGACCATAAGTGATACATCATCTGCATAGGCAATTACCCGGCGACCACGATTCCTATGTTTTTTAAACAGGTCGTTAACGACCAGAAGTGGGCGGTACACATAAATATTTAATTTTAAAGAAATAATTGCCATATAATTTTGGATGGCTGCTTTATACTCAAAATATTATGGTTGTCATAATTGCCAGGGGTGAAAGCATTCTCAAAATAGTTTTTATTAATCTTTTATAGTTCACAGATTCCAGTAAAAAAAACGTTAGACAATATAGCGTCTACAAAAATTATATTTCAAAAACCGGAGCTTCATATTTCAAAAATCAAAAACAAGTTCATTGTAACCACGCGAATGCCCACCACTAATGAAAGCTGAACTGATTCACAATAATTAATCTAGCGATACCTTTACGAATATACATACATATATATAACTATTTTGTGTTACAATACATGTATTCACTACGACAATACGACACATAACACAAACCGATATACATTCACATAAACCTACCTTCTACGCCGTGGATTTGAGGTCTGTCCGGGCAAATTGAAGCAACCGCGTGGAATTACCATGCGTGCATTACCTTTGGCGGGACGCGAGCCGCCCACAACTTGCAGACCGGCCAAATGAGCTGCGTAACCATCGCTCAAGACCGTGGCATTTGATTGCAATTTTTTGCTAACCTGAAAATACCCGAAAAATAAAATGAAGTGACATTTCGCACAAACTGTTCGTAATTTGCACATACTTTGCCCACAATGAAAATCTGCTCGGAACGCAAGCCCACATTCGCATACACAGTTATGTCTTTGCTGCTACCGTAGGCAGCCACAATTGAGATTCCATGATTTTGCACTAAATTATTCAAGTAAGTTGTCTTGTGACCCAGCGGATCGGTGAGTAAACCGTCGGCGAAAGAGATCAGACCATGCGGGAAATTATGCTGGCTCAACCAGGATACTACACGTTGTTGTTGCATATCTGGGCGGCCCGTAATGTAGATCAACAAATAGCCCAACTCTTGCCAGTGGCGACAGACATCAACCGCGCCAGCGCGTACCTTTGGATCACGCCCCGTCACCGACATGGACGCCGTAAAGGAACCATCAATACTAAAAACCACACATTCGGTCATTGGTGGCACAATGGCGACATAACAGTCCACCGATGTATGATCGCCACGTACGATCATTTTCACCGGATATATGCCATAGCCTAGCGATACCTGTTCCGGTATGGTATATGAGATGCGACCATTCTTATCGGTCAACTCGGTGGCAAGGAATGTCCATTCGCCGGCTGGTGGATCTTTCATTAAATGAATATCGACTTTTTCGCCATGCAGTGTGATCATATCCAGCGGTCCGTACATGAAACGTGCATTGAGACGTTGTTCGCGTCCCTCCAAAACAATTACATCGTTAGCACGATGATTAGCCGCAACATTTTTCAGCTTTACCGAAGTACGTTTCTTCATCCATTTCTCTCGTGGCTGACTGGGATGGAAGGTGACTGTGTCTTTGTCGTCTGCTGACCCGACAAATGGAATGCCATCAAATTTGCCAATCTGTAAAGGATATAAGTGGATAGTGGATTATGATATGATGGATTTCGTCGTCATAGAGTAAACTTTTCGATCAGTATCATTGGATTGATTAAATTTTCTCAATAAAGAGTAGATGTTCTCGGAGTTAGGTGAAGTAATTTATCTTTCGCTCAACAAAGTTTACTTCTAAAATTGTGTACCAAAAATTCAAACTCACCTGACGTAAAACGAACGCTATGACATCCGCGCTTTCCCAATAACTCGCGTGAAATAGATGTGGCAAGGCGTGAGCCGGGAAATTACTCAACCCTTCTGGGCAATACAGGGCGTAGTCTAAACGTTTTGTGCCCCACCATTTCATTTGAACTGCAAATAAATTGAGAATTATTGCTAAATCCGAGATAAGTATGACACATTATTGATATGAAGATACCAAACAAGCCTTTCAGTAGAGCAATAAATAAGGAATTCTACTAATATTACAAAATCAAGTTTTAAAAGCTGTTTTCGAGGTTTCTAAATTGGTTTGCGCAAGCAACTTACGTGAGTGGATTGTACTTAGCGATACATTTTCAATGAGACCGGAAATAGTACTTTGCATTGAGGCATCCGACAGACGTCTGTTTCCCAAAATATTGTTGGCTTCACTGAAATGTTGTGGATGGGATTGGATAACCTCCACTGATTGGAATAAAAGTTCAAAAAGTAAAACTTGAAATGACTTATAATTTATTTTAAACTCACATAAGTGATACGGCTGTCCATTTCCCAGTGGATACTTGGCATAACGCGGCACATTCACTGGCGCCAACATGGAAAACCTAGCGCTGAGCAGTGGTTCCAAACGGGAAGCAATCGGATCGGTAGGGTGGAATAGATTGTACACTTGATTACAGTTCGGCCGTGCCAGCGCTGCGGAAAATATAATGCTTACAAGAGAGTTTCATTTTGTAAAGCTTTGCGTCACTTACCCGCCTTAGCATCATGCAGCTTACGCGCGGCCAATACAATGGAGAGCGGTGAGCCGAACATAAAGAAATCACCAACTTCGAAATCCAATTTGTTGCCACGCGAATCGCCCGAAGAGGACCGACGACGTCGCGGTGAAGGTGCGACCAGCAACCGCTTAGCATCCAAATCGGAATCATTGAAGCGTTCATCGTCATCGGTACGCGATGATCGGCTACCACCACCATCCGAACCGTTACCGCGGCAAAGCGCTTCATAGGCCAACAGCGAACCCATCGAATCACCCAGCATTACCACTTGACCGGCGAAACCGTGACCCTCCTCAGACTTGATGAATTCATGATAGACTATATTGGCTGCAGTCACTGTCTTATTAACGGTATCTTGGAATTCTGGCGAGGCCACAGAAAGCAATGGTATGGCGCCAATCGGTACATCAGCTATATTTGGTATATCAACAGCCGACGGTGAGGCATCGAACGAGTATGGACTAAGACTAGAAAGTATGCCCAAGGCATCGGTGCAGATGGAAGGGCATGGTACCATTTTGATGGTAACATGACTCAGCAGACTAGGATAGTGTTGACGCATAACGCCCTCGAAAGCGCCACGAAATGTGGTAATGTCTGACTTCTTGCCGGTCAGCTCGCTGGTGGCGTCTAAAACCAATAAGAAGAACAAGAAATTAATTTACAAGTGTCATAATTTAAAATTTGATGAATTTACTCACCCAAAACGCTGCCCGCGTGCACTACAAGTATTAGTATGGTGGTGGAACAGGAAGGTGTGCCTGGCGAACCTGGCGGCGATGCGTCATGACTACGATCTATACTAGCGGAGGAGCGCAGCTGTCGCTTATTGCCACGCTCCGAGGCGACGCGCATTAGGAAGTCTTGATTGAAAATACTGTCTTCTTGACTGTCTTTATATACAATGCCACTACTTGGCGGCGGGCTGTCGTCACCCTCCCCGAGTAATTCAAGTGAGCTCCACTTGGCAAGCGAGTTGGTCTCATTGGTATCTGAAAGATGGAAAAAGAATGCAGCACTTAGATGGGCAACGAGTGAGTGAAGCTTTTAGTAATACATACCAACGCAATCAAAGAACTCTTCATCAGAATTGGACTTGGTGTCCACTTCCAGTCGTTCCATACGCCAATTTGCAACCTGTAAGTGGTGTTTATTGATGAATAAAAGTATATTTATAGCTTTAATCAAATCTAGACTTAGTTTAATTTGAAACTTGAAAAGTAAACTTTTAGTGAACACCCTAATAAAATAAGTTGTCATACTATAATTATACGAAACTTACGTTTTTGTGTAGAACATTCTTAGCATGCGGCTTTAAAAAGATTTAATTTTTGTAAAATATTAAATAAAACAATTAAAATAAATAATGTAAAGTAAATAGTAAGAAAAATTTTTAAAATGAAAGCGAGAGCGATATGGTGTTCGAAAATCTTGAAAATGGCTTGGTAAAGGCAATAAAAACGAATCTTCTGGATATTTGAGTTATTCTTTCATCATTCTCTCTGAATTCATTTAATCGGTTGAGTTCACCTACTACATCAAAAATTTTTTGGGAGGGATTAAAAATTTGTTCATTACTAAAATAGTGTTGAACGGTTACCTATATTACGGATGGTAGGTGTTAGATAAGTTGTCATCGAGGTCTTCCTGCGATAGGCTCAGATACTTTTCTGTTCCGAAGAGTTCGGACAATAGGGAGAGGGGTGTCAGATGTCTAGGGTTAGCAAGTCATGCAAAGATATGGTTAGTGTGATGCGGTGGATCATTACATGCTGGACTATGTTTGATATGTCAGGGTCGATTCTGGATAAGTAGGAACTTAACCTGCTACAATATCCTGAACGAAGCTGCGCAAGTATCACTCTCGATTCTTGTGGCAATAGGAGCTCTTCGTTTGCAATGGGTAGTGTTTTGACCCCGAGTACGCCATTCACTGAGAGGGAGTCAGCGAAGGTGTTAATGGCTACACTGTGAATGGCGGTCAGGGAAGCTTGGTCTGTGTATTTTTTTCTATCGTCGACATAGTTGAGGAAGGACATCTTTAAGTTCCTGGGAGGCGATTCCGCTGCAAGCAGGTGACTGCAGGGAGTAAAAAGAATCTCACTTCCTATTGATCATCCAAACTTTGTTTTTCTACAATAGAGGAGTTAAGCCAGTTGTACTATAGGAGGTCTTTAGAGGGCGAAAGGATATCGTTGTAAGCCCTAAGAAAAAACGGTTAATCATTTAACTAAAGATAAGGCTTTTCCGGGTCTTACTCTACCGACTGCTAAGTTTTAAGTATCTACATTATAGATTTTGACGCTTTTTAGTAAGCTTGGCAAAATTTTTCCTTAATCTTAAATTATAACAAACAAAAAAAAATAATAATCTGTCTTGCAATCTCGAATTTTCGGAAAATTTTCACCAAGTTCCAAGATTTTCAAATTACTATACGCACAGTTAAAAGCACGATATAAAAACTTGATCACATAAAGCACATTTAGATATTTAGACATACACATTGCAAATATTGAAGAGCACAGAAAACACAGAAAAAGACAAAAATTTGCCAAAAGAAACACAACACACCTGTAAATCAAAGCTATGCGCCGAACCAACCGGTGAGTGTAGCGCGCCCTTCGAACCGAATTTCGATTTTGTCATTTGTATGCTCTGGGAGCGTGAGCGCGCGCTCACTTCCTGAGCCGCATCCTCTTCATCCTCATCCGAAGTCCCTTCAGCGCTTGGCGGTTCTTGGGTAACAATTGGTGGTGGCGCGCCACTAGACTTTCGACGCTCACTGCCCGTGCTGCCAGTAATCGGTCGGCCATGCAAGTCCGCCACGCTGTCAGCTAAAAGTAAATCAGACAAATTAATTAATTAAAAATGATATTAAAAATGTATTTAATTTCTTCACGCTCTTACCATCTTCCACATCACTTTCGCTATCTTCGCCACCACCCATTTTCTTCGCCAACGCCAATTGTGTTTGTCGCTCGATTTCACGTATATCCTCAATTGTCAGGCCGTACCATTCATCTTGCCAGGCCCATGCCTGCCGATGTGCACGCAGCATTGTTTTCCGCAATGCCACATCGTGTATGAATTTCTCTAATTTGGTTTGCATACCCCAATAACGAAATTCCACGCGGCAAATTTTATAGGCGCACATAAGCGACATATTGCGAGCGGTGGGTTGCTTTTTGCCCTTAACTTCGCGCCAATATTCCTCTAGCCATTCCTCGCCCAACGGACCACGTCCTGTCTTATCAGATACAAAGAGCTTTGGATCCTCCTCCTTTACATAATCTCCGCCATATAGTTGATCCTTCACTATATCGATGACGTCTGTGGAGTTAAGCAGAAGAGTATATACATATGTAGAGATTTGAGCGCGAGTTTAATTGTTTGTGGTCAATTTTTTCAATACTGTGGTAGAGGTTATGTGGTAGAACTATCTCGAAGCAAGCTTTGTGTAGTGCAAAATAACTATTGATGATTATTACTAATATTATTATGAAAGCACACTTTTACCTATTAAATTTGGGAGGTACAGAATATGGCTAGTGTTATTAATAGCTGCTATCAATGTTATCAGTAGAATAAAACCTATTATTTCGCTGATTGGTTACTGAGCTCCGAAGAGACATCCATTGCTGTGATTTTGATATTATTATATTCAATTCTGTTAAAATGTATCTAAATAAAAAATGTGCTTTTTTGATATTTTTCCTAACCATTTTACTTAATTCGATATAAAGTATTACAAAGTATTCGGTATTAACCGGGTATATTTTATCTAATCTAGACGACTTTCAAAGCACTTGAAGCAATAATCTCATTATACGATTCATTCAGGCTTAAAGCCCATGTTTTTAGTGATGAGAATAATGTCCGAAACATTTCTCTTAACTTACTTAGAAATAACTTGCGGAAAGATTTGGCAAAATGACTTGTAAATACCGTAAAATATTTAACCGTGAATATCAACATTATTAATTCCAAATACTTCGGCGGTACTCAGGAATCTTACATTGCTCTTATGATGCTTGACTTATTTCTTCAACTGAAAGGTATTCGTCGTAATTTTAAGACATTCCAAATATAAGAATTCGTAAGGTTGAAATCTATATATCATAAAACATGTCTACAACCGTCGATAGGTATAAAATTTTCCGATATATGATTACTTCCATGAATCGCTGCTACTACAATGCTGCTTTTATGTTACGAAGGTTGTCTTTTATATGTATTTCGGGATTTGAGAAGAAAAAAAAAACAAATTTTAATCATTGATCTCTTTATGCGTGTGAACCAATTTCTGAAGCACTTTTGCTACTCAGAGTGAGGTATCTCAAAAACATGAATTCTGAACGCATCAAACACCTATTCAGGTGTCGAAGAACCTTGGCTTCTTAGTTTCGTACGAACGGAGAAACCGATATTTAGAGTGCTCAAAAATGCAGTTGTCTCAATCGTTGTTTGAAAGCTCGCATTGTCGTGGTGAAGAATGATCCGTCTTCAATTTTTGGGTTTCCTGATTTCTCGACAGACAACAGTTTAATGATTGTACACCATCAAAATTTTTTTGTTCCGCGTTGTTGTGGTGATATGCCGGAGATATGTGTATTCACTTGTTCCAAAAAATAAGGCAATAATTTGCTTGGAGCTGCTTGATGCGCGTTTTGTTGGACTCGGCTCACTTTGAAACACCAATGCAATCAATTCATCTTTATTTTTGGTATCATGCGATTACTCATCTCTCATAATTTCAAAGACGTGTTTCGAACCATAGCTATCCTATTATTTTAACATTTCTTCCGTCATATACACACTTGTGTTTGTTTCTTTTTTTTTTTTTTTTAGCGCTTTAGTTGTGTGGGATCCAACGCAAAACAAAATTCTTTTACAGTCAAATGTTCATTCAATTGCCTCCATCTCACGAAAGGTCACATGATGATCTGACTATATTAGTTTGCGCACATCATCAATAGTTTCCTGAAAAAAACTGCTTTTGAACGACCTACATGAAATCCATCTTGGAATGATCTGCGGCCTCCATTGGGTTCACTGTACAATCGATAAAATCTGGCCTTTGGTAAAGCTTTATCGCCAAAAAATTATTTAAGTAAAATGATGCATGGTTTCTGAGTTAATCTACGTAGAAAGTTGCAGTAAATAATGGCAGAAAAATTTTCACAATTTAATTCCATTTTTTGGCCTAAATTAATATTTCACGTTACTGTAAACATCACAGGTTGCGCTCTTAGGACAAAACGTTCTAAGTAATGTCAACCTTTACGATAAAGTTATGAGTTGCTAAATTGCAATAATATGGTTGCCAAGTCCCGAAATATAAAAGGGAGCCTACTTAAGAATAATGAGTATTGCATGACTTAAGGAAGAACCCAGATATAACCTAACCCTCAAATGCTAACCTTCCATTCTTAATTAAGTGCAAATTCATATATTTCAAAATTTAGTTTTATCATCACTTACCCACAATACGATTTCGCAAATCACTGCCGCTCAATTTGAACACATTATCCTGATAACCGTTATCCGGAAAATAATATGTTTCAATATCGAGCGAGAATTTCTCCACAAACGGACAGGTGTAGCGCGTGCGTGTATATGGATAGGCATTCCACGCCTCCTCCTCCACCGTCAATGCGCTCTTTGGCAATAAACCTGTACGACGAAAACAAACGTTCCATAATTCAGCATGAATACAAGAAAAGCGCCCCAGTAAATGGGTAATTAGTGGTGGCACTCATTACATTTAATTGAATAGTTCATTTAATTGCAATTTAACTCACTTTTTATCCAACCGGGTAGATGACTGCCAACATGATAGATTTTCTTCGTATACTGTCCATTGCCGCCGGGCCCGTCTTTGTAGGGTTCATTAATGATAATTTCAACGCCGCTGCCCTCGCCATGACTTTCCTCGCGACTTTTTTTCTATAGGTTCAAAACAAAGTGTGCAATAAGAAATATGGCATGGCAGAATGTACATATAATTGAATGAAATAAAATGATTTATAATCGCTGCTTTAGTGTTTTGATTGGCTTCACCGCTGTCGGCGGTCGTTACAGTCGCACAACACGCGCACACCACTCGCTCACTTACCGCTATCATATACAGCTGTGCGATGCGATATTCCTCCACCGTTAACGGCAAGGGTATACGGTATTCTTTTATTAACATTTTCTTTTGCTGCTTCGGCTCGACGCGCCTCAAAGGGTGAACTCATATAAGAGGCAATATTTTGCGACGTCCTGTTGGATGGATGGTCTAAATATAGCTTTTAATTGACTTGCTTGGGTTTTATTGCCAACGCAGTGTGTTTGCAGACATTATTTGCGAGCTGTTGCTCCTAAAAGTGGAGCCATTCTTTCCCCTTTCCTTTTATTGCTTTTCAAAAGGTGACGTAAAACTCTCTAAAAATGGAAGTATTTTGATTAGTATTTTCTTATGTTAGTTATAACTGTATTGTATCAGATATGTATATAAATACATAGATGCTTTTGTAATTATCAGCTAGAAATATAGATAAAGGGCTGGTTTGGGTGCAAACTAATCTTTATTCGCCTGTGTTTACTTCATTAAGGAGATAAAGATAATAATTCTATATATTTATAACTTTCCTTCTAAAGTGTTATCAGTTTTTGACCAAAATCTGATCTTTGGGATCAAAGCATGGTATTATTTTTAAAATTTGCGGATTATGATTGTGGTTTTTTGAATTTTCTTTGAAAATTTACTGGAGTAATGTATATATTTTTTATGCGATTAGAAAGTAGATATTTCGAAAAATATTATATTTTGACGTGAGAGTTGTCCCTCCTTAATATCTTAAATAAAAAACTAAATAGTCTTTGGGACATAGGAAGGAAATTTTCACAGACTTTCGTGAAAAAAATTGTTGGGGTTAATTTGTATAATTAAATTTTTCTGTTAAATTTGGGGATTATAGGAAAAAGGTATGAACGTTTTAGATCTCTCATAATCTACAACTTTGTCATTCATTGTGACAAAACAGCACCCAGAAATTGTTAATTAATCGCAAAGAATTTAATTATTAACCTTCAGGTCCTTCAGCGAATTTTATTTTTATCTTTTCCATCGACTGAAAACGCGTTGCACGGAAAGACAATTTCTCTTTGCAGCACAAAAAATCATATGGTGCCAAATCTCTTGACTACGGTGGTTGATCGATGGTATTCATTGCGTTGTTGGCTTTAAAACTTGTACTCTTTAAAAAAAAATACCTGTATTTCCATCAGTTGAAGAGGTCGAAGGTCGTCAAGAACGAGGCATGTCTCTAATGTTTTGTCGTTAAAGGTTTGTACCACTCGTCGGTTTGTGTTTTTAATAAAACTAAATTACCATAAGCCTCTTCTAACATTCCCAACGATTCCGCAGACGAAATTTTGTTAAAAATACAAAATTCGAGAGAAATTCTTTGTTCGTTTACTCTTTAAATTCAGTCATGCCCTACCTCTTCCACCTTCCCGATCACCGATCGCCCTTAAATCAATTTTCCTTAATTTTTATTATTTTATATTAAATTTTCAATGTGTTTTACTACTCCATAATTTTTTGGGTTTTCAAAAAGTATCCACCATAGTCTAATATTTTTCATTCATAAAATAGCTTTCAAAGATATTATAGATGTAAATTTGTATTCGCGTTTCGATCTCAAAATACGAATTTTCAAACATTTCAAATTTTGTAAAAGACACATATGTATGTCGTTCTAATATTTGTTTCAGTAAAGAAAAAATAAACAATTGAATTATATGCATGTTTCTTCCAAAATTTCCCTTTTCCAAGAAATTTGTTTGTTGCACAAATGCTACGGATTAACATAGAAAATATAAACAAGTTTAATGTAAGCAATCACAAAGAAAAATCACCGACGTTTTCGTAAGTCTTTATTTCCGGAAATAAAGWAAAATAATAATAATAGTGACAATGGACAAAAGGATTGGCTTCCTACCACTTTGACTAATTTTTGTACTTCTGCTTTCAAAATTGAACTCATGATTTTATGCTGTAAGAAATATGGAAGATGAAGTCTATGAGATTTTAAAAACGTTATCGATGTTGAAGGGATTACGTATTGTTTTATACAACAAGCCAATTCACTCAAGAGATATTCGCCATATAGGCATTAGCTAATCAGGCAGTCTTCCAATATCAATTATTATGAATACCTTTACGCGTCGTAAACTAAAGTGAAGGTCAACAGTACATGTTCGGAGCGGAACTCGAAAAACAAAACCAATCAGTTTGACGCGCATTTACGAGCACAGTTTACGTTTGTCTATAAATTTGCATTATTTGCTGCAATGGTGTGAAGTAAATATTCGGTGAATTAAAACAGAAACGTTTCTGAGTAATGACTATTTCGTATTTAGTATGATATATATGTATGTGTGTGTATGTACATAACTCAAAGTGAAATATTTGTTTGGATTCACATCACTTTTATTTGAGGAAGTATATACATATGTATCCATTTTATGGCAGACTACAAATTTTATAGCAATTTATGGCAAATATATACAAATATATACGAATTTGAGGATGCACATAAACAAGAAAAAATAAATTTATTAATGACCTAAAAACAGGATTATATATTGAAGAAATATTTAGAAAAGCAGTATTTGTGGCGCACATAAAGTTCGGCCCAAACTGAGATATATGTTTTTTGCATTGCATTTTTAAGGTCCTAAAAAAGTCATTGACTCCACCATCTGAACTATACCACATAGTTCAAATTAATAACATATCTACATACATTTCACTTCCAGAACACTGAAGTTGACTATAGTTGTTTTCACTGATAATACAGGAAAGGCTTTTTAAATAACAAATTATGACTGTGGATCTACTGATGCCATAATATGTATATATATATATATTCCTCTGATATGATCCCAAACTTCCCAGCATGGATGAGATATTTGCATCGAATGTGTACTTTGGGTACAGTCGAGATGTTAGAACTCCATAGGATTTTTCAAAACGATCTAGTACCACACATTGGAACTTAACCGGTTTTATTTTCTTGGCCTTGCTTAAGATATGTCTAAAATAAATAAATTAAATGATTGTATATAAAGTTCTACAATTAGACGAAATGTCTTAAAAAAATTTGGCAATGAATATAACTCAAGTCAAAGATACAATCTTCAAAGAAATTGATCAGGATCGGATCACTATGGCACATAGGTCAACCAAGGGCATAGAAAGCATTTACATTTGAGAATATATCTCCACAAAATCTAGCCTGGAAATTTCAAAGGAATCGGTGTAACCAAATTAGATGCTCAGCAACAACACTTACTACCGTAGACAAAAAATAGTAAGACTTTATAATTTAATTTTGTGCAAAAAACCGAAATATCTTTCCGAAGTTGGAATGAGTGTCAATGACTTCTATGTCACATGTCGCATCAACATAACCATTAATATTTAGTATATGCTTGTCTTTCTGAAGTACATAAGGTGCATTCAGCTGAAATTATTCAACAAAGAAGCTCCTTTAAAGTTTGTGTGCGGAATCAAATTTGTGCTGCCGAATCGTTCAGAATATTGGAAATGGCCTTCGATGATGATTGTTTGTCGCGAGGAAGTGTTTTGGATTGGTACAAACTATTCAAAGAGGGTCGAGAAAGTGTTGACGAGGAACCACGTTCAGTACGGCTATAAATATCAACTGATGATCGACAAGCCAATAAATAAAGTAATTAGTGCTTGAGAATCGACGATTAAAAGTCAGGATCAGTGCAAACCATTTCGAAGGATCATTTGAGCTTAAGAAAAGTGAAAATGTCTGCTAAATAATGCTATCTGACTAGCAGGATGTTATGAAACATATTATTACTGGCTGAATCTTGGACCTATGCTTACGACTCGGAAATAGACGTTCAATCGGCCGAATATCGTGGCAAAGGTAAGCCGAAACGGAAGAAAACATTTGACAGTTTTCTTCGATTATTCGAGTTTCTTCGGCCGTCCAAACAGTCAGCAAGGAATACTATGTGAATATTCATAGAAAGAAACCGGAAGTATGAACCGACAACTCTTGATTTTTGCACCACGATAGTGCACTGCATTAATTCTTGCATACTGCATTAATTCTCCGCGAGTTTTTCGCCAATCGTGTTGCAACCACCGTATTCACCTGATTTAGCTCCGTGTGACAAGTTTGAGTCAATTGAAGCCATTAAATTTGAACCGCATCATTGAAGGATATTGCGGAACTTGATTTTAACAACTGTTTCGAGGATTGGAAAAACGTTGGCAGTGGCAGAAATGTATTGAAGCCAAGGGGATTACTTTGAGGGGGACTATATAGGTCTTGAAAAATAAATTTAGAATTTTAAATTACAAAAAAATCTTGATCGTTTTTTGCTCAAAGTAGTATACCGATTTCTTACGAACCGCTTGCAGCTTCAAAATGAAGTTAATGTTGAATGTGGAGCTTTTGAGAACATATAAATAAATCTTTATGTATGTTTTAAACACTCATCGAATGGTTACTTGAACACTTTTCACTTTTTGTCTATAAATTGGTAGGCATTGCTTTTTTTAAGAGTTTATTCCTTTAACCTCACACACATTACACTAAAAGCATTTGCACAACAAAAGAATATTAATAAATAAACAATTAGGTAGTAGTAATGGCGCACATTAAATAAAAAGCAAAAAGATATTTATATGAAATATTACTCTCGCAGTATTGTGTTGCCAAAATTTGTTGGCAAAACTGTCAATTAATCACCGGCGGACACAGAAAACATGGCAAAACGAGAAAGATGATTACTGTTTTTATAATTTCGCACTCAATGGAGCACATAATTCAAAGGAAGCACATATACAAACATATATATGGGCAACAGAAGTACAAAATAACATAATATCATTTTTCGTAATTTTGCAAAAGATGGACAAAAAAAAAACAATTTGTATAGAAACGAAATTTGATTTTTGATTATAAATTGTTATATGGGATAGCACAAGCTAAAATTTTATACCTATATAAAATATGATGCGGTGAATAGTTATCAATAAAATAAACTCAATTTTGAATTTTTTGACGATACGCTGTTTTGTAGTTTAGGCCTGAAATTCAAAACAACTTATCATCCAAAAGCTGGAAATTGAATTTTTTATCGCTTACGATTCACTACTTCATATTACATATGTAATATCGTTAAATTTCAAGCTTCTCTTCTCAGATATAACCAATATATAACCATTTTATAACCAATCCCGAATAGGAGTGGTTTCATGATATCGTTTTTCCTTGGCCTGTAAACTTATGAAAAGTTAAGTTTCGCTATTTTGTATTTTAAGTGACGATATGTATACTAATGTATATGTAGGAAAATACATGTATGCGTATTTGTATATAAAAGCAA